AAAAAACCTGTATTTTGTGCAGAGACTCCGAAAGCTTGAGAATATAGGCAAATTATACCAACAATGATCGCGAGGGTGCCCATGAGATGTTAAATTGTGGTGCACAACCTGAAAAAACAGCATTCGACAACTTCAATAAATGCAATCATACGAAAAGTGCGAGAAAATTTCTCATGAAAAGGTATAGCTTTGTAAAATTTATCCTTCAGTTTTGAAACGACTCAGGGTTCATGAACAAATACGCATCCAAAGGCAGCCTTTCGATATACTGCGATGCTACGAACCGGATCCCTCCAGACCGAAAAAAAAGAGCTATTCAAGAATGCGATTTTTATGATACAAATACACCAAAATACTGTATTAGAGTTCAAAATAAATGTTTGACTCTAATTGAAAATAATTAATTACGTGGGTCCTTATGGCAGAGAGATTGTTCAAACTGACTTTATGATGCTTAAAAATTCGAATTTGGGGGCGAATTTTTCAAAGATTATGCATTAAGACTATAGTTTCACTTACAATCACTAATATCTCGATTTTTTCGCAAACTGCACACATGTTCCTTGTCCTCCAAGCCTTTCAATGGACCACTAGACAAGGCACGAGTTCAAGCATTCTGATACATGTTTCTTTAACAGGATTTCACGTAGAATACGATTCGCGCAACGAAAATTACTGAAACTAACTCCTAACGAATATATTAACCTTTTCATTTCACATTGGTTACGCGGATTTTGAACTGCCCGCTCATAGGAAACTCAAAGCTCGTGAAGAGCTACGTGAGTCAAATCGCGCACTACAACGGTTTCAGCAAGCCTCTCAATCGAGCAATGTTTATTTCCCTCCATGTGTTGTTCAAACTATGAGCAATTTGCAATAGCTGAGCCAAAGCGTCAAGATTGAGGTTGCCAGATTTTTATATCGCAAGAGACTGTCATGATAACGTTTAGCGCGCGATGTGAATCACGCAGAGCATTGAGTTTTCATGAGCGGGTGGTTTGAATTCACACATCAAGAATCATTGAATATCTTCGTAAGGAGTTAATTGCGGTAATTTTTGCCGTGCGCATCGTGTTCTACGTGAAATTATAGTCAAGAAACATGTATCAGAATGCTGAAATTCGTATACCTTGTCTAGTGGTCCATTATGAATTATTCATGGAGGTATAGCATAGCACTCATTTGCTTACCTGAGTCCACACATACAAAATTATGAAATTTCAGCTAACCAAACCCCGGAGCGGTTAAGGGACAGCCCCAAGCCCCAAGAGTGTCACCAATAAATAGCACATTTTCTTCTTGCGGGTCGTAACACCACTCCTAAAAGAACCTCATCGCATGAGGTTCGTGTCTGCTCGTAGTATCACTCTTCATCCTCTCTCGAAGAGACAATGTAGAAACAATTGATCAAGATGGCTGTTTCAGTCACGATGCTGCCGTGTTAAGGAGGAACGCCGTATGCGCCTTCAGATGTTGCCATATTTCCTTCCATGATAAACAAATTTACTGGGAAAATCCTGAATACTTATTCTCAAATTTTGCAGGCAATATTGTTCACATTTTCTTCTGAAACATCTCCAAATTTCAAGGGAAAATATGTATTTCTTTCCACAAAAATAAACATATCATCGAGGGAAATTTGAAAACTCACGAATGTCGATCAGCGTTTTTCCTTGGGACGGCGGAATGATGACATTGACATTGGAGAATTCGATCGGGGGAGCGAGCTAGCACGCGCGTCGCAGTTAATTAGATTCGGATAGCTCGCGTGTTTTCAGTTGATTTTGCGGCATGCGAAATTCGTCCCCGCGAAAATGCAGGTGTATACTTATGGTCCACATGAGACACGATTGACTTCGGTAACATTGTCAAAGAAGGTCGTTTGATATTCAAGAACCCTTGTTCTCATTTGCGCAGATCCTCAGTTGTCATAAGTTTTTGCTCCCGGGTATAACGCAAATCGAGTGAGAACATGTGTTCCTGTGCAGATGCGGATGGAGAGCACACTTCCAATACTTTCATCCGAAACACGCAATACTCAATTGTAACAATTTTCCTAAAACTCTCATTGCTGTGAGGCAATATTTTGTTTTTCGTCGTTTAATTGCCCCTGCCCCCCTCCACTCTTGGAGATTACTTAATAGTTTCAACTTTAATTGAGGGGCTTGGAGGATGAGGCGCATACGTGAGGTTTTGGAAAAAATTGAGATATTAATGATTTCAAGTAAAACTAGTTTTAATGCATATTATGTGAAAAATTCTTTCCCAAATTCCAAATTTTAAGCATCGAAAAGTCAGTTTGAACTTTCTTTCCGGAAGGATCCATAATGTAATTTAGAAACTTCAAACACGTTTTTCTCGAAAAAGTAAACACTGCACTTATGCGCTTTGTCCTCCAAGCCTTCAATTATTTTAACTGGACCAAATTAAGCAGGTCAGAAGCAATACATATTTTATTGCAGGATGAGATGAGCCTTGAGTAGTCAGAAATGTACTAATGTATTTTCCTGTCAAAAGTCCTAAGTCAAGGAAATTTATTTTGGGTGTGAAATTAGTCGTTAAACTTTAGCTTTAGCATTAAGTCCGACGAAGGAATAAAATTTCTTATTGCTTGTGCTTGATTTAAATTTCGTCTCTCCTGAGGGCGTATTTCAGTTCCCACGTGCGAGACCTGTTTCACATATAGATCCATGCGTTTGGGGCTCATATTAAAATTGAGATACGGCCTTACGTTAGAGGAGCGACGATTTGATGTATTACAGTTCTTTTTTGTAGTTTTTTTTGTTTCTTTTGTTTTTTGTTCTTTTTTGTTGACTTGTAGATTTGAAAATTTGCAGACTGGTTATAGAAAGCTATTGACTAAGCTATAGACAAAGAAGACAAAGGGAAAACGGAGTGATACTATTGGTTGAAACGGGTGGTTGCTATAGAATAAGGGAGAAAATGATGGACTGACTAAATTCTCCTGATTGCTATTAGTTAATCTATTACTTACTTCTTTTGTCTATTGTACCACCCGCTTCCACCGACAGGATCGCTCCAGTTTTCCTGTGTCTTCTTTGTCTAGCACTTTATCGATCAATTCCAATGATAAGCCCTCTATTTCCATTTGTAGTACCTTCTTATTTAAACAAATGACAGTATTGATCGAGTCCATAAAATTGTTGCCGGAAGACTGTGACTTGTGGACCAGACTGAATTTCATGTGTCATTAGAAACGTCACGAATATTCCAGCTGTTTTCAACTAGGTACCCTACCCAGTCATCTCACCCCTAATGATACATCTACATTACTTCTGAAAATTAGTTTGCTTATCTGAGACTTTTAATGCATGGAATGTGATATTTGAAAATCTTTTGCGCTATTCCATTCAGGAACATGATATGAAGAATAGTCACAATGCCGAGATTTTATGATGCAGCTTTTACATCAATTACAATATCTTGACTGGAAAAGTCTCTTCATTCCGTACCCTCCCCGTTAGATTTGTCCTCCAAGGGGCCGTTCATAAAATAAATAACGTTCGAGGAGGGTCAAGACATACGCTATAATCAGATTTTTCAAGTGTTTAAAATAAAAAATCGACTGGAGTTGGAAGTTTTTCATCCAAATTTCATCACAGTACGCTAATTCCCTAGGAGGTAGTAGTGATCGCAACAAGTTGCGCTTTGATCGGAGAATGTATCGCAATTTTATAGACGTCGATTTATCGCAATAGTATCGAACAAAAAATCGAGATAAATTGAGACATTGAGAATCCGATCATCAAATGTGATTTTATAGAGATAAAATAGTGACAAGATCGTGGATAGTCACTCAGATGTTGACGTCCTAGCGATTTTATCGCCAAAAAATCGTTCATAAATGCTACATGGGTAGAGGAGATCGAAGAAACATATTTTCAGCGTTCAACATTTTTCAAGTGTGTTCCCAAGTGGTCCATATATTAATTATTTTCAATATTATTTACGCATTACTTGACGTGAACGGTGAGATGGAATTACATTTTCTGGATTGGTTCTTTTTAGTTGCACCTGGGAAAATCGCTGCATTTCCGAAAAGAGACTTTTGAGATGAGGTCGTGTTTCACTTACCAGCGTAATTTTTTTTAATTGGAATAAGGGTAATGCAACAAATTAGGGTGTGAAACGAACAATCCGTGGTCACCGAAAATTTGAATGTAAACTAGCCGCCTCGAATGTTCACATGATAGAAAAATTCGCGGAGAGAATGCATCTTGATGTCACATAAGTAACTTTTTTAAACTTTTCAATGCAGAACATTTGACATCATCATTTGCTTGACAATGAACTTACTTTAATGCGAACAACGCCATAAAAAAGTAAATAGAAACAGGCGTTAGGAACGTCAGAGCTGCAAAGTATCACACGAGATTAGATGAACTTGAAAATTTGGCACCTGTATAAATCATCAAGAGGAGATGCGAGCAACCTCTCTAATTAATTAACGTATTCTTTTCCACGTTGTCGCTTTACCTATATGGACGTATTTAGGCTAAAAGGAACTATGACGCACAAAACCCCTATGCACATAGTGCCTTTTAGCATAAATTCGTCCAAATGAACTATACAGGAGGTGAGCGCGGGGTAAAGGGGTCTGTGATGCATGGAAGTGTTGCGTAAAAAAGCGACGTCATATATTTGCCGACTGACGGTGGATAGGTGTGACTTTCATGGCACATGGACCCCAGACAGTTTTTCGCGACAGAAGGAGAAGAAATGATTTTTTTAAATCTTTCTTCCGTATTTTTGTGCACAAGGGTCATACGCGGATCCAAGAGGGAGGTAAGGGGCGTACGCCCCCCCCCCTTGCTCAAAGAAAAGAGGAAGAAAAGGAGAAGATAAAAAGAAGGAAGGAACGGAAGAAAGAAGGAGAAAGGACGTTTAGATTTGATAATTATTCATGACCAAATTGACTCAAACTGCATCTAAGAAGATGCTTCAAATTTCGAAAATTTTCTGTGGGGAGTCCCCCGGGCCCCCCTTTACGCCCCCCTCCCCCGTTCGAAGTATCTGGTATCGCCCATGACATGGGTATTATTGAAATAAATTGTCTGATTTTTTAGCCGTCCTGAAAAACTACCAATGAGGATAAAGCAAGGAACCATTGATTTCGGTGATTTTTCCCGTTTCTTTGGTACTTAAAGAAAGAACCGGCCAGTACAGCAATTTCGGCCCCTTTGGAAATTTCAGGGCAGCTAGGCTTTAAACCATTTTAAGGTTTCTTCTTGTGGCTCTCATCACATATCAAAAAATGTCAATAAATAATTCGTTTTTCATTTTTAGAAGTAGGTATTTATTTATTTTTACAAAGTATTCATCAGTAATATTTGAATTTCAGCTAACTTTAACATTGTTTATCAATCTGTCTAATGGTACATCTGGTGGTTGTACTGAAACAAAACACAAAGGCTTTTTTAATATTGGATTCAATTAACACAAATAAATATAGTGAGGAGAGAATATATTTACATACGTATTGCCTAAATTTGATCCCTTTCTTCTGGTTAATGCATTAAAGTTTTATACATATCTCCAAATTCAGGCAAAGGTAAGCTATATAATACATTTATACTTACAGTTGGTGCATTCACGCACAACTGAAGGTATTTACAAAAAAATTTAAATGAAATGTTACTAATACTAGACGACTGAATTTTACGTAATGGGTATAATCATAAGAAAACAAAACAAAAAAGAAGTTTCTTACATCTTGACTTTTGCAAGAATTCGAACCACAATACCTCGCCTAATTTTCACCGCAATTGTGAAATCAGATAACTTACATTTATTACTATTTCAAGGCTATTCAAAGATACATTCATATCCTCGAAGTTGGTCCTATCTTGGGGTCCTGCAACGGCCTTCAATTCTGCATGCAACTATTTTAACTTCCGCGTNCCCCCCTCCCCCGTTTCGAAGTATCTGGTATCGCCCATGACATGGATATTATTGAAATAAATTGTCTGATTTTTTAGCCGCCCTGAAAAACTACCAATGAGGATAAAGCAAGGAGCCATTGATTTCGGTGATTTTTCCCGTTTCTTTGGTACTTAAAGAAAGAACCGGCCAGTTCAGCAATTTCGGTCCCTCTGGAAATTTCAGGGCAGCTAGACTTTAAACCATTTTAAGGTTTCTTCTTGTGGCTCTCATCACATATCAAAAAATGTCAATAAATAATCCGTTTTTCATTTTTAGAAGTAGGTATTTATTTATTTTCACAAAGATTCCTCAGACGTATTCATCAGTAATATTTGAATTTCAGCTAACTTTAACATTGTTTATCAATCTGTCTAATGATACATCTGGTGGTTGTACTGAAACAAAACACAAAGGCTTTTTTAATATTGGATTCAATTAACACAAATAAATATAGTGAGGAGAGAATATATTTACATACGTATTGCCTAAATTTGATCCCTTTCTTCTGGTTAATGCATTAAAGTTTTATACATATCTCCAAATTCAGGCAAAGGTAAGCTATATAATACATTTATACTTACAGTTGGTGCATTCACGCACAACTGAAGGTATTTACAAAAAAATTTAAATGAAATGTTACTAATACTAGACGACTGAATTTTACGTAATGGGTATAATCATAAGAAAACAAAACAAAAAAGAAGTTTCTTACATCTTGACTTTTGCAAGAATTCGAACCACAATACCTCGCCTAATTTTCACCGCAATTGTGAAATCAGATAACTTACATTTATTACTATTTCAAGGCTATTCAAAGATACATTCATATCCTCGAAGTTGGTCCTATCTTGGGGTCCTGCAACGGCCTTCAATTCTGCATGCAACTATTTTAACTTCCGCGTCGTTGAAGAGGTATCATAAATAATTGAAGGTGCTTCTTTGATGTACGTTTAAATATATTCTCAGTTAAAACCTGGAGACCACTCTTGGGCTTATCGTATAATCATATTTTATTTATTATACTCGCAATAGGTAACCCTATGATTATGATAACTTAGCTCGCTACCAATAATCTGAATTATAAGGAGAAGGTATTATTTATTTTCCTGTTTCGACTGTGCACGCGTGTGCTCATCATCGAAAATAAAATGGAATCTAAATCAAAAATATATCGGTAAGAGAATAACTGTAAACAAACTCACTGCAAAAAGGAGGATTTTGATTGGTTGTGACGTAGAATGATCCTCTTGCTGAGTGTAAGTCAGTGTATTGCCCCAGTGCAGAGCAAGTGTCAGGCCTGCAAGCTTCTTCAGGTGGTTCCGGCCTGCAATCAAAGCAAATACCAACTTAATAATGTTTCTAAGGTTCAATCCAAATCTTACTTACAAAAGCAAAAATAAATGCGACAAAAATGTACCCAAAAACGGTTTGAACGGGGTGAGTCCATGGTGCGTGCATTTTTCAATAAAAATCTTGGCTGATAATATTTTCGAAATATCGCGCTTTGAAATTTTTATAGTAAATGCAAGTTTTCTATTGATTTTGATCCGCTTTTTAATTTATTTGTACACTGAATCGGTGGTGATCGGTTCACGGTTTTATTTTTCGTTCAATTCATGTCGATCGAATAGATATCCTCTCGTTACATGCACACTTCCTTTCATACTCTTTTTTTTAACCGAACAATTCGCCTTCTGCTGCTTTTGTAGCAATTGTTGTTGCGAATATGTTGTGCGTGCTGATTTGATTTCATTACATACTTGAGTCCCTGAAGGCGTTTTATGTGCGCAAGTGGCGCACCTTCTTGGAAAAGAATAGAAGTGAGATTGAGAGAATCGCTCAAACCCTACTTCGTTGGTTCTCCGACAGACTGCACCACTTACGCACATAAAGCGCCTTCAGAGAGTTAAGTATGTAATGATCTGAGAACAGCACGCACAACATATTTGTAACAACAATTGCTGCGGACGCAGCTGAAGGCGAATTGAAAACATCCGTATAATACACGTTTAAAAAAAAAAAAAAAAAAAAAAAAAAAAAAAAAAANTGAATATTGTTACCAATAGAGAGTTGCATTTTATGGCCTTTTTATGGAAGATTCTTGAAAAACTTTTCACATTAAAGGTCGCCTGAATCACTACTCTACTACCTTTAAATACGCAATGCGGAGGAGGGACATTTCTTCTCTCCTGGGCAACTAGTCGATGCAAAGGAGAAAAATGTTGTCTCTCCTGAGCAACTAGACGATGCAAAGGAGAGAAATGTTTTCTCTCCTGAACAACTAGTCGGTGCAAAGAAGAGAAATCATTTCTCCCCTGAGCAACTATTTAGTGCTTAGGGACGGATACATTCCGCTCCTAAGCACAAATTAGTTGCTCGGGCGAGAAGAGAATTTTCTCGAAAACAACTACTCAATTCAAATGTAGTGCCCTTTACAATTTGTCAAGCACTTCCAAATTTGTATGATAGGTATAAATCTTCCCATTTCGGGCGGGGCTGCTGTCGGCCCCATTCCAATTTGTAGTAAAAGAAATATATAAAATATGTTACCATTCTAAAAAAAAAAAAAAAAAAAAAAAAAAAAAAAAAAAAANTCAGAGGAGAGAATTTTTTTCTCTCCTCGGCTACTAGTTTGTGCTAAGGAATTCCTCATCTCCTTTTTCTTTTCATTCTCGTTTTTTTAACCAAACAGTTCGCCTTCTGCTGCGTTCGCTGCAATTGTTGTTACGAATATGTTGTGCGTGCTGATCTCAGTTCATTACATACTTGATTCTCTGAAGGCGTTTTATGTGCGCGATTGGCGGAGTCTGTCAGAGAACCAACGAAGTAGGGTTTGAGCGATTCTTTTAATCTCACTTGTTCTGTTGTCTTCCAACGGGGTGCACCACCACCACGTACGCACGTAAAACGCCTTCAGAGAGTCAAGTATGTAATGAACTGATATCAGCACGCACAACATATTCGTAACAACAATTGTAGCGAACGCAGTAGAAGGCGAACTATTTGGTTTAAAAAAGGAGTATGAAAGGAGGTGTGCGTGTATGACAGACTGCGCCACTTGCGCACATAAACCGCCTATTAACTTATGTAGATTTCTGTAAACAAAATAAAACATGTGAGGATATCAGGTAACATGAAACGAAGTTACGCTTTTTGTAAAATCTCCTTGATTACGATTTGTCAAACGTTTCATGTGCATCTTTGAAACAAGCTTCGTTTAATACATGAGCTCCCTTACGTGTTTGGATTCCACTTTCGACCCCAAAATGTGCAATTGCTCGTATATGCCTCGATGAAATATTCGTAAGAACGCCCGTGACTGCAAGATGCGTAATACACCAACACTAAAACACAATTTAAGGTTTAGTTTCATAATTAACACATTTATCGAAAAGAGAGTCTCATACAATTAAAATATTAATCATGCCTAAATGTAGGCCAATTTGAAAATAATAATATTAATATAAGGTCAATACCTATTATGATTCTTTTAAGATGAAGAATATGATCCTTGCCTTTCGGCTAGCATATACTCTTACGAGGGAAGGGGTGTATTATCGGTTTCTTCAGAGGGACATTGCAGTTTTGCTCCATTTGCCCTTGCAATGAACATTGCAATGCATGCATTTTGCAATTATTTTACCTACTCAATAACAAATATAAGTTTCTAAGACTATTGCGTGCTTCCACGTGAGTCTTAATATGTATTTGATGCACATTGATTTCCCAATGGATGAGAATAGAATTTATAGATAGCACAAATAATGCATAAGAGAAAAAAAGAATCGTAGCGCTCTTAAAATCATACTGGAATGCAGGACATGCCCATTTTATTCGTGGCTACAATGTTACTCTTGGGGTGAAAAGTATAACTACGACGACAAAAATATGTGGGAACCAAAATGGGCATTGTAAGGCCAACAATTAATTTTTTTCCACGGGGTTAGAAACTCAAAATGTTAATCGAATTGCAACGCTGCAAAGTTTCATTTGACAAAGTAAATATTTTTTTCGAGTACCATGATAGATTTTTCACTGAACAGTTGTGTGGAATATATGTGTGGTTTGATGACAATGCCATGGAATCCTCACATCATTTTCAGGTTTTGAAAAACAGGCACCTGCAAGTGGATTTATTTGAATATGTTTTCATTAGAAGAGACAGAGGATTTCACTAACTTTCAATCGGCGTTGATAGGAGTTCGGCCACTGTGTTGATGATTAACGTTATTGGTCCAGTCTTGCTTTTGACTCCGGGACATCCTGGCTGACTCCTGCCACCATTCATGTAAAAATCAACATGTCCTGTCGTAAAAATTACGAACAGTTATTAAATGTTTTAAATTTTATTTTAAATGAAGGTTCAGCAACCAAAAGAGGGATGAAAAACAATAAAAACCAAAATGTATCGGTTAATTTTTGAGGTACCTTCTAGGTACAAGGTGTCACCGGAAAAGATGCAAAATAATGATTACTCTGAAAGTGTAATTTCGTATGGCAAAGTGTCTCTTAAAGGGAAAGGGGGATGAGGTAACTATACTTTCAGCCTAAACGGGTTAATTCTGCATTATTTGAATTAAGTATCATCCAAAATTCCGAACATTGAACTTTTGACAGCAATCCAAAGTTTCCGGACAAAAATGGAAAAATTCGAGAAAACCACTTTTAAAGTTGGCACCCTTTCCAGACAATTCAGTTTAATCCCTCACTACGTTATTAATAATAATGCGTATTATGGCTTGAAATAATTGTGACCCAGTGCTCTTAAGAGTATGAAAGTGTTCAGAGTGGAAACTGAAAATTAGTATCTTTGACCCTAAACCGGGGGTTTCACTGAATCCACCGAAAAAGTTGAGTTTAAAACCTGAAGGCACATTTTGCTTGTTCCATCACAAATATTGAGTTAATATGTTAATATGCTGTGTTCTTTACTGTTTTATTTAAAATTCGTGGAGGAAGCATCAGGTATAAAACTTCTTTGACTCAAAACTCCCCAAAATTGATATGCATACTCTATTGCTTATACTTCAAACTATATACCGTAGACAATGATACAGCAATCACAGTATAATATTACAAATGGACCGAGCTTAACAGAAAGGAACCAATAGCCACATCAGCTATTGCCAAATTTAACTGGGCAATACAATTTTTTACGAGAGAACGTTTGTGTGGATTCCTTTGAAATTTTTAAGGAATTTGCTTCAAACTATGGTGAATTTTCACTGCAATTTGCACGAAAATCCGCAGAACCGTTTTCATGTAAAAAATTAAATTTCCCAATTAAAGGAGGGGTATCGTTAAGGGCCTTTTTTGGGCCCACCCTGAAATTCCTCAACTCCGCGATTTTTTGGTCATTGAAGGTCTATATTTTACGAAATTCATAATGGTTTGGTCATTTCCGATCTATTTCAGGGTCTACCACTGGCCTAAACATGGGTCTGAAGGCCGATTTTGGCGAAAAATGCTGGTTTTTCGGCATTCAACGCGCTGTTTCATACCGATCCCTTCGGAGGACAAACAGGTCCTTCAAGTATGTTCATTAGGGATGTAAGAGAGTCACTTTGGCCAATTTTCGTCGATGTCAAACTTTGCGCTCATTGTTAAAAAAAACTTCTTAGAATTTTCCTGTTTTTCATCGTTATTTAAAATGGCTTAAAAAGCGACTCATCTTACGTCAGAGTTTAATTTTTTTGACAATAAATGGTCGTGGGTGGTCCAAACCTTCCTCAAAAAACTTTTTTGAATTCAAAGCCTCCCAAAAAAGCCGGTGTTGCCATATTTTATTGCCTGAATTCACGGAAAACCTAGTATTTCAGAATTCGGAGGCTGTTCCTCGTCAAGAACATTCCGCAAGTTCAGAAACCTTTATTTTATGCATGTTTTATCTATTTATGTATTTATCTCCCGCTGTGGCTCAGCGTTGCCACATGTTATTCGTGAAAATCGAGAACAATTCGCGTTTAGGTGGTTTTGCGCCATTTTGTTCGGATCATGCCAGTGGTAGACCCCGAGATAGATCGAAAATGACCAAACCACTATGCATTCCGTAAAATATAGACCTTCAATGACCAAAAAATCGCGGAGTTGAGGAATTTCAGGGTGGGCCCAAAAAAGGCCCTTAACGATACCCCTCCTTTCAATCTAAGTTAATTTATTTGATTTTTCCCTAGGCATTTGACAAAATGCCTGATTTTACTATTTGCCTGAGACATATACTTTGTGACCCTGACGATGAAGCGCTCGCCCTTCGAAAAACCTCGGTCAAAGTTTATGTAAGTGTTTTTTTTTATAAAATTGTAATATTATCTCTAGCACTTGGCTACACCCTACATGCCAATATATTCAGTGCTACTACCTTTTAGACATTGTGTTATACAATATTTGCTGAACTTGATTTCCTGTTTCAACACATGTAATTCAGCGGATTAAATCATTTTTTCGTATCTCAGTAATTAGGTAATCAATCTATGAACCAAAAGTATCCTCGTGCTCAGTTCTCTCGGTAGTTTCTACTTAAATACAAAATATTTATCAAAGTTCAGACTCCTGCAAGGAATTCTTATCGAAAGATCCGAGCTAAATTTTGGTCTTATTTTAATTTTTAGTTATAGCAAATAGAGTTAATACTTTGTAGTTCTCTATATTTTGAATAAAGAAAAAAAAATTAAGGTCAATTCAACCACTAGATTCCTGATAAACGAGAACATCGGTTGCCCGATCCTAGGAATGCCTGATGGCGCTCACCACAGATTTGGAATTTTTGCCCTATTTTTGGGCACTGTTTTAAGTTGAGTTTTTAGTTCAAGCTGAACAAATTATGATGATTTAAAATTAAAAGTATAAGAGGATTGGAACTTCCAATGGAAATTTTTTAATACGATCGATAGAAATGAAATTGTGTCAAACTTGATGAAAATCCGCCTATTTTTAGCCGGTGTTCATCCGAATCTTCCATAGCAAATTCTGCCGTGCAAAGGAGAAACACCGTATGAACCTTCAGGCGTTGCCAAATTTTCATTTATAAAACACGAATTTCCTGGTAAACTTATATATTTTTCTCCCAATTTTTCAGATTATGTTGTTTGCAATTTCACCTAAAGTTTCCTGCTTTTCTACTCCTGCGTTAAAGTCCCCTTGTGATAGACTCGGAACGGTGCAGTGTAACACAATGGTTACAAACCATAGATTCTATACTGCTAGCGATGCGATGCGTGCTATGGAAAAACGCCGTATGAACCTTCAGGCGATCCCATATTTCCTTTGATAAAACACGAATTTCCTAGTAAATGTATGAATATTTTTCTCCCAATTTTTCAGATTATGTTGTTAGCAATTTCACCTAAAGCTCCTGAAAATTTCAAGAAAAAATTTCATAACTTTTCTCAAAAATGAACATTTTACTGAAGGAAATTTGGCAAGTTTCGAATGCTCATACGGCGTTCTTCCTTAGCGCGACAGAATTACTAGGAGACTTTAACGATTGAGAAGGAAAGCAAAACGTGCGTTGATGCAAGAAAAAAAATTAGTGCGCAAGAGATTGCATACTTTCCAGGCTGTCTTTAAAAAACACGCATTACGATTGCTTCCGAGCCACGCAGTGGCGTGACGTGAATTGCGATGTATCGATTGTTTTGCAATTTAAACGTATGTTAAAGAATCGATTATTAAGGTGTTCGTAGCGTTCATCGATCATTTTCCATAGGTTTAAATGGCATAACAATCGATATATCGCAATTCACGCCACGCCACTGGAGCCACCCTAAAAAAAAGAGTAATCTCCGGGTTTTCCGGACCTGTAGACACCCTGATCTAGGGATAGCAGGCCCAGCTGTAGAATACCTCTCATCGATAGCCAGAAAAATCAATCGGCAGAAAAAATGTTTGAAGTCAACACTCAAATCCTGTCAGTCCGAACTCTGTATTGCGAAAGAACGTCCTATGAGCCCTCGGACGTTGCCAAAATTTGTGGGATGAAACGGGAATTTCGTGGGGAATTTGTGCCCCCCCCCAAAAAAAAAAATTTGTTTATGAATTTTAATCGCAATTTCATCAAAACTATCTAAATATTTCAAGGAAAAATATTCATACCATACCTCACCAAGACATAATATTAATATTATCGTGATACGCACCGCTTTTATTTGTGGAACTACGCAATTCACTTGGATGGAATTTAGCAAAAAGGAACCAGCGCGATTACAGTGTTTTCAAGATCGTGCACCTTCTTCTGTACGTTTAAAATTACTTATAATATCTATGTACAGTGTTAGAACTTACCTTCAGTATTTTCCTTCAAAACTAACAATTGTTTCGTGAGAAGCCAGAACTATTTGGACTGCATTTTGCAATTTGGAACTATAAATTTTGGCTCATATGAAAAAGCACTCATATGCATTGGGAAATTAATGGCACATACATTGTTTTTAAACTGAGCTAGAATTTATAGTTCCAAATTGCAAAATGTAGTCCATTTGTTATTCTGGGAGACTTCTTTGATAATTATGAAGAAGCAATCTTTTTACAACACTGTAATTGCGATGGTTCCTTTTTCCAAAATTCGACCCACTTAGAGACTTTCTCTGGACTTTGCCACCCGCCCCCTCTCTCTCTCTCTCTTTGTAGCTCAGTATTTTTTTGCTTTTTCACTGTAACGGATGTGTTTCCGAAATAATTTATTTCCGTGTTCTTTTTCCTGTTTACGATCCCCCCCCCCTCTTCCATTGTTTTGCAGCCCGGAGGTTTCTTGACCGGACCGCCAAAGAAACAAAACAAGGGATTTCCATGTCCTGATTACAGTGACGCGTAAGGTCCATCATCCATCTCAGTGAAACAAAGGACCCCGCCTGGCCGCATCCGAAAGTGATGGAATGCACCCCTTCCTGAAATCCCGCAAAGCTCGGATTTTCCGCCATTGGAAAACAAGGAAGAAGTTTCTGGAATACATCCTAATTGCGAGAGGGGTCAGCCGGGGGGGGGGGATTGTTTGTGGTGGCTTCAGGCCAGCAGTTTACGAGATTATAAAATGGCAAACCCAACCCTAAATTTCAGTCAGTTTGGTTTCAGCAAGCGAAGTAATTTCATGGGTGAGCAGGTCAGTGGGTCGGTTAGTCGGTCAGTCGGTCAGTCGGTAGTGTTGTGTTGTGTTGTAGTGGTCGCTTACACTACAGGTTCTAATCCGTGAGTACACTGTGTATAATAGCTTATTCTTAACTTCTACTGCAAGAAAATTTATAGGTTAAAATTTACATGCTATACAATTCAAAAATTTATTTTTTAATTTTTTAATTTCAAATTTTTTATAT